TTCATCCACTTGCCCCTTCTGTCATTTATCTGTTCCTTTCTCTGAACTCCAATCGTCTCTTTCTTTTTCTCTCTCATTCTTTTATTTTCCCTTTCACTCATTACATCTTCAGTGACACTGCTTCAATTCAATTCAATTGCAGGCACGCCAACGCCCATTTCGACGACAACGACGCCGATTATAGCTCCCCTTCGGTACCCTTTTTTCCCTCTCGTTCTCTGTCTTCACCTCACCATTACTTTTGGTTTGTTTGAGAAACTCAGAAAATAAAAATTGATTTTTTTGAAACCCTTTTTGAAAGTGATTCGCTTTGTGGATGGTGGTGGAAGTAAATTTTACCCACATGATCTTACAATGTTATTTTGTTTGCATTTTCTGCTATATTAGAGTGCAATTATTTATTATCCTTTGTTTACCCCCTCCCCTTTTTTTAATGAATTTGATCTTCACATTTAAACTAAAATGTGAATTTAGTCTTTTCTCTCTGAAAAATCATGTTTTTGAAGTTGGGAAGGACCAAATTCATCATACGAACGTATAGGACCTTGACCACGATTGATTAAAAACATATGGAGTAAAGATTACATTTTTCTCTCTTTATTATTAGTGGAAAGTACATTTTTTTGTTGAAGGAACTTTTTATTACTATCTTGCACATTTAAAGGAACCGAATTCTTTTACATATATGGTCTAAAGTGGACCGCGGTTTCATCTGTTTGTCAAGAGAAGAATGACACGGGATTTTTGTCGCTGTTTCATATTCTTCAGGCTAGTGGCTTGCATTTTGATGGAGTAAGGGGTAGGGATAATGTGGTGTTGAAAATGGATGAAAAGATCTCTTGCTTAGTTGATGTGCAAAGAAGGGGAGAGTTTTACAAGGTTGAAAGAGGTTTGATGGCCTTGTTGAGAGACTGTTTGGAGTCTGAGGCTGAAAACTCAAGAAGCATTTTGACATGTTATGTTGATCATTTCCAGAGCCTTGAGTTTAAGGATGTTGGATGGGGTTGTGGTTGGCGTAACATTCAAATGCTCAGCTCTCACTTAATGACACAAAGGCCAGAAGCAAGAGAAGCTATGTTTGGCCGTTCAGGGTTTGTTCCTGATATCCCATCACTCCAGAGGTGGCTTGAGATTTCTTGGGAAAGGGGTTTTGATGCACCTGGCGCTGAACAGTTTAACCATGCTGTCTATGGCTCAAAAAAATGGATTGGGGCTACTGAATGTGCTGCCCTTTTGCGTTCTTTTGGTCTCCGGGTGAGGGTAGTGGATTTTGGTCCTAAGAAATCTGAGGAACTCTATTTATCTGTCCCTGGTTCAAGTGTTGGGGAAAAGGATCTTGTGAAAAGTAAAGATGGAAGGAAGAGGAAAGCATCAAATACTTATGGACCAATGGATAGATATGTGTCTCGTGGTGTTGCTCAAAAAAGTTGCAACCAAGATGCAAAGTCATGTCCTTCCCTTGTACGTGTTGGTGACGCTGTGGATAACGAAAGTAGTGGTAATAGGGTATACGGCAAAGAGAAACTAAATGAGGGTCACCAAGTTCTTATGGACTTTGTGTGGAATTATTTCTCCCATAAAAGCACTGTTCAATTTGATCACAAGCATGTTCTTATCAGTGAGAAAACGTAAGTGACTGCATTTTAGGTACACATGTTCTGACCTTGCAGACAATCGTGTTTTTTTTTTTTTTATGATGTTTTAAATCTAGAAAGCTTTTCTTGTACAGGCCACTGTACTTTCAGCATGATGGACATTCAAGAACAATAGTTGGAATTCAAGTCAAGCATCAACGGTCTGGAATTCCACAATACAATCTCCTGGTTCTGGATCCCAGTCATGTAATATATTTTCTTTCTAATGTCTATTTTCTGGTTATTTAGATGCATGTGAGTAATTCTCTGTTCTTGCATATCCTACAGGTGCTTCTTGATCAATTGAAACTGGTCAAACTACAAAGCTTAACGAATTTAAAAAAATAATATAACCCTTACTATATTTATATGAACTTTTCAGTTCGTTTTTTCTGTTAACCGGTCGTATTCTTTGGATTAGCAAGTAAGGATATGCAANTTTGTGTGGAATTATTTCTCCCATAAAAGCACTGTTCAATTTGATCACAAGCATGTTCTTATCAGTGAGAAAACGTAAGTGACTGCATTTTAGGTACACATGTTCTGACCTTGCAGACAATCGTGTTTTTTTTTTTTTTATGATGTTTTAAATCTAGAAAGCTTTTCTTGTACAGGCCACTGTACTTTCAGCATGATGGACATTCAAGAACAATAGTTGGAATTCAAGTCAAGCATCAACGGTCTGGAATTCCACAATACAATCTCCTGGTTCTGGATCCCAGTCATGTAATATATTTTCTTTCTAATGTCTATTTTCTGGTTATTTAGATGCATGTGAGTAATTCTCTGTTCTTGCATATCCTACAGGTGCTTCTTGATCAATTGAAACTGGTCAAACTACAAAGCTTAACGAATTTAAAAAAATAATATAACCCTTACTATATTTATATGAACTTTTCAGTTCGTTTTTTCTGTTAACCGGTCGTATTCTTTGGATTAGCAAGTAAGGATATGCAATTTGAAGTAGATTAAGATGTGTTTTCTTCCTACTCTTTTTTGTGTGCTTATTAAGGGAATGAATCTGGAATATACATGTTATGTAGTAGTGATGGTATGACATCCTTTCAAATGTTGTGACTTATCATTATAGAGAACTATTGCTCTAGAAAGATCTATTATAGAGAAAGTTGGATGGCAGAAACACATAAAAAGAGGAGTGCACACACTAAAGAAGCCACAATACCAGGTTTTTCTTTAACCAAATTTTGTAATTTCCCTGCAACATTATGTGATGAGGCTAGATGATATTGTTTCTATTTCAGTTGTGTTATGTTGATCCTGGAATTGCCAGTGAGGAGGAGATGGAGAAACTCAAGACAATTGATAGTGTCTTCCTTGAATTTTAAATAACCATACAAAGGACCTTGCTACATAAAGGTACCCTTTGTATTTCACATCATATGACTATTTTTATTGTCATTTTTTCTGATTGATTTTGTCAAAACAAAGAAGTTAGAGACAAAAAGTAATTTGTTGTTCCACTTAGCTCATCTCCACTTCTTTACAAATATTTTGTTGTTTTTGAGGTCTTGGGCACATACATCATAAACCTGATACGTAGTTACTTACTGCTACTTTATTATTGAGTTGGGCAAGTAATGGCTATGGAAATGCTAATTATCAAATGACACCTTTTGAAAATGTGGATCAAATAATTGAAATTATTGAAAAATAAATATCAAGCTTGCTTGCTTTTAGGATTTTGTTAAAGTCGCCACCTTTATCAGGATTTTATTCACCAAGCCTCTTCACTTTCGATGCATTTTTTATATGCCCCTTTGGGCCAACTAGCAGCAGTGTTAACTGCTAAAATTTTCAACCGCAGTCTTTTGATTAAATGTTGGTTTAACCTATCTGCAGATGAAACACATCAAATTTGAGTTTTAGACGGCTGCAATTGCACTGAGATTCAAAACAGGTAGGGGAAGGAAATGAGGTTTCAATTGTATGCAGGTTATTGAATTTACATTTAGGTGCAGAGATTTGAGAGTTGCATTCTATACTTTTTACTACTGGAATAACTTCCAGCAGCATTTTTTAGTCATATCTGGGTTGGTTCGGTAGTGCAATCCGTTTTCACAACATATACGATATAGGATGAGAATGTAATTCTTATGTTCGTGAATGTGCGTATATGAAATAATGCTTTAGCTATGATTCAGTTATTCGAATCTTATGATTCACTTTCACTGTTTTTATCTTACAATTTGATACTATTTGGTTACTTGTTGATTCATATCATACGATAAATCTCAATTGACTTTAAATCTTACAATTTTGTTTTATCAGACTTATGGTTAGGTTGCTCTATCTATTTCCAGTTTAAAATTAATGTATTGAGCTCTGAAGTTTCCTATGCAATGCAAATTATGATTCATGACTAAAAAATAGCTGACCGTTCACAATTTANCCACTCCATGCACTGCACCACGAGAGCGACACCGCACCACGAGAGGGAAACTGCTTGATAATTCTTCCCACCACCACCAACCTTTGCAACTTGTAGTATCTTATAACGATGAAAGAGAAAAAGAAATATAATGTTAAAATGAAAGAAAAGTATTTTAGTCATGTATGGGACTATAATAAGTTATTAGTGAAATAGGTTGTAAATAAATAAAGTTAAAAAATAATAACCTTAAAAATAAAATTTTACTAAAAAACAAAATAATAAATTAGAGGTAGAGGGAGAAAGGTGTGGCAGTGGAAGGAGCAACGTCTTTAAGAAAATATTTGAAAACAAAACAAAACTTTGAAATGGGTAGATTACAAAACCAAACAAATGTAGCTGCCGCCTTTAACATTTGAAAGGAAGGGGCTTTCCGCCACTAACCTCACATCACCCCTTTCCTCGTTCGTTGTTCTTTCAATTTTTGATGATTTGATGAACATGAATTCATCCACTTGCCCCTTCTGTCATTTATCTGTTCCTTTCTCTGAACTCCAATCGTCTCTTTCTTTTTCTCTCTCATTCTTTTATTTTCCCTTTCACTCATTACATCTTCAGTGACACTGCTTCAATTCAATTCAATTGCAGGCACGCCAACGCCCATTTCGACGACAACGACGCCGATTATAGCTCCCCTTCGGTACCCTTTTTTCCCTCTCGTTCTCTGTCTTCACCTCACCATTACTTTTGGTTTGTTTGAGAAACTCAGAAAATAAAAATTGATTTTTTTGAAACCCTTTTTGAAAGTGATTCGCTTTGTGGATGGTGGTGGAAGTAAATTTTACCCACATGATCTTACAATGTTATTTTGTTTGCATTTTCTGCTATATTAGAGTGCAATTATTTATTATCCTTTGTTTACCCCCTCCCCTTTTTTTAATGAATTTGATCTTCACATTTAAACTAAAATGTGAATTTAGTCTTTTCTCTCTGAAAAATCATGTTTTTGAAGTTGGGAAGGACCAAATTCATCATACGAACGTATAGGACCTTGACCACGATTGATTAAAAACATATGGAGTAAAGATTACATTTTTCTCTCTTTATTATTAGTGGAAAGTACATTTTTTTGTTGAAGGAACTTTTTATTACTATCTTGCACATTTAAAGGAACCGAATTCTTTTACATATATGGTCTAAAGTGGACCGCGGTTTCATCTGTTTGTCAAGAGAAGAATGACACGGGATTTTTGTCGCTGTTTCATATTCTTCAGGCTAGTGGCTTGCATTTTGATGGAGTAAGGGGTAGGGATAATGTGGTGTTGAAAATGGATGAAAAGATCTCTTGCTTAGTTGATGTGCAAAGAAGGGGAGAGTTTTACAAGGTTGAAAGAGGTTTGATGGCCTTGTTGAGAGACTGTTTGGAGTCTGAGGCTGAAAACTCAAGAAGCATTTTGACATGTTATGTTGATCATTTCCAGAGCCTTGAGTTTAAGGATGTTGGATGGGGTTGTGGTTGGCGTAACATTCAAATGCTCAGCTCTCACTTAATGACACAAAGGCCAGAAGCAAGAGAAGCTATGTTTGGCCGTTCAGGGTTTGTTCCTGATATCCCATCACTCCAGAGGTGGCTTGAGATTGCTTGGGAAAGGGGTTTTGATGCACCTGGCGCTGAACAGTTTAACCATGCTGTCTATGGCTCAAAAAAATGGATTGGGGCTACTGAATGTGCTGCCCTTTTGCGTTCTTTTGGTCTCCGGGTGAGGGTAGTGGATTTTGGTCCTAAGAAATCTGAGGAACTCTATTTATCTGTCCCTGGTTCAAGTGTTGGGGAAAAGGATCTTGTGAAAAGTAAAGATGGAAGGAAGAGGAAAGCATCAAATACTTATGGACCAATGGATAGATATGTGTCTCGTGGTGTTGCTCAAAAAAGTTGCAACCAAGATGCAAAGTCATGTCCTTCCCTTGTACGTGTTGGTGACGCTGTGGATAACGAAAGTAGTGGTAATAGGGTATACGGCAAAGAGAAACTAAATGAGGGTCACCAAGTTCTTATGGACTTTGTGTGGAATTATTTCTCCCATAAAAGCACTGTTCAATTTGATCACAAGCATGTTCTTATCAGTGAGAAAACGTAAGTGACTGCATTTTAGGTACACATGTTCTGACCTTGCAGACAATCGTGTTTTTTTTTTTTTTATGATGTTTTAAATCTAGAAAGCTTTTCTTGTACAGGCCACTGTACTTTCAGCATGATGGACATTCAAGAACAATAGTTGGAATTCAAGTCAAGCATCAACGGTCTGGAATTCCACAATACAATCTCCTGGTTCTGGATCCCAGTCATGTAATATATTTTCTTTCTAATGTCTATTTTCTGGTTATTTAGATGCATGTGAGTAATTCTCTGTTCTTGCATATCCTACAGGTGCTTCTTGATCAATTGAAACTGGTCAAACTACAAAGCTTAACGAATTTAAAAAAATAATATAACCCTTACTATATTTATATGAACTTTTCAGTTCGTTTTTTCTGTTAACCGGTCGTATTCTTTGGATTAGCAAGTAAGGATATGCAATTTGAAGTAGATTAAGATGTGTTTTCTTCCTACTCTTTTTTGTGTGCTTATTAAGGGAATGAATCTGGAATATACATGTTATGTAGTAGTGATGGTATGACATCCTTTCAAATGTTGTGACTTATCATTATAGAGAACTATTGCTCTAGAAAGATCTATTATAGAGAAAGTTGGATGGCAGAAACACATAAAAAGAGGAGTGCACACACTAAAGAAGCCACAATACCAGGTTTTTCTTTAACCAAATTTTGTAATTTCCCTGCAACATTATGTGATGAGGCTAGATGATATTGTTTCTATTTCAGTTGTGTTATGTTGATCCTGGAATTGCCAGTGAGGAGGAGATGGAGAAACTCAAGACAATTGATAGTGTCTTCCTTGAATTTTAAATAACCATACAAAGGACCTTGCTACATAAAGGTACCCTTTGTATTTCACATCATATGACTATTTTTATTGTCATTTTTTCTGATTGATTTTGTCAAAACAAAGAAGTTAGAGACAAAAAGAAATTTGTTGTTCCACTTAGCTCATCTCCACTTCTTTACAAATATTTTGTTGTTTTTGAGGTCTTGGGCACATACATCATAAACCTGATACGTAGTTACTTACTGCTACTTTATTATTGAGTTGGGCAAGTAATGGCTATGGAAATGCTAATTATCAAATGACACCTTTTGAAAATGTGGATCAAATAATTGAAATTATTGAAAAATAAATATCAAGCTTGCTTGCTTTTAGGATTTTGTTAAAGTCGCCACCTTTATCAGGATTTTATTCACCAAGCCTCTTCACTTTCGATGCATTTTTTATATGCCCCTTTGGGCCAACTAGCAGCAGTGTTAACTGCTAAAATTTTCAACCGCAGTCTTTTGATGAAATGTTGGTTTAACCTATCTGCAGATGAAACACATCAAATTTGAGTTTTAGACGGCTGCAATTGCACTGAGATTCAAAACAGGTAGGGGAAGGAAATGAGGTTTCAATTGTATGCAGGTTATTGAATTTACATTTAGGTGCAGAGATTTGAGAGTTGCATTCTATACTTTTTACTACTGGAATAACTTCCAGCAGCATTTTTTAGTCATATCTGGGTTGGTTCGGTAGTGCAATCCGTTTTCACAACATATACGATATAGGATGAGAATGTAATTCTTATGTTCGTGAATGTGCGTAAATGAAATAATGCTTTAGCTATGATTCAGTTATTCGAATCTTATGATTCACTTTCACTGTTTTTATCTTACAATTTGATACTATTTGGTTACTTGTTGATTCATATCATACGATAAATCTCAATTGACTTTAAATCTTACAATTTTGTTTTATCAGACTTATGGTTAGGTTGCTCTATCTATTTCCAGTTTAAAATTAATGTATTGAGCTCTGAAGTTTCCTATGCAATGCAAATTATGATTCATGACTAAAAAATAGCTGACCGTTCACAATTTAAATCTTGATTTGATAATGATAACCTTGACAATGATTAATTAAGATAAGGTCATGTTTTGTGCTTGTAGATGTGTTAGATGATAAGAAAATAAACCCAAATCATATGAAGTTGCTTTCTGATATAGCTTTATTCATGCACTACTTAATTAAGCTCATTTGTTAATTGTTTATCTGCTGATAATACTTGTATTGTACCAACGTTTATGTTCACATTATTAACTAGGTTTAAACCCTTTAGTTGTCCTTATTTATGTGGGTTTTTCCCAGTTTGATCCTCTTCTTATTAGAATCCCCAATTGAGTCCTTATAAGTGTTAATTTGAATCAATTGAGCTCCTGCCATTAAATTTAGTTAACGGAGTTAAGTTTTTGCACAGGTAGAAGATTGATGTGTCAAATTTTTAAAACGTGGCATACTGAGAGTTGAACATGGAATTTAGCAACTTTTTAAATTTTAATAATATGAATTTTTGAAATGGGATTTAGGGTTCATAGAAGAGAAAGAAGAAGCTACAAGTGGCAAAGAAGATGAAAGTAAATTTGTCATTAAATGGACAGAGGATGACCAAAAGAACCTCATGGATATGGGAAATTTAGAGCTGGAAAGGAACACGTGGTTGGAGAATCTTATTGCCAGAAGAAGAAAGGAGATTGATATCTGAGAAGAATCTAATAGACTTAGACTTTGCTGATATTCTCAGTAAAAACCCAACCCAGAAAAACCCAAACAGCATCCAGAGCACCATCGTGAATCTCCTCGTGCGATCTCATTCTTTCACCTGTAATTCCCAAAATCCAGAAAACGCAAAAAAAAAAACCAAACTGCCACTCTCCCTGAAATCGCGAGTCTTCTCCTCCATCACCGCCACACAACCCAGAATCGCATTAGCCTACATCGCGCCACTTCCACTTGCAGATCTAGAAAAGCCAGAAGTGTCGTAACCACCAAGAACTTCTTCTCCATAGATCGTGACGCAAACCCTGCAAGAAACCACTTCTCAGAATCGCGCCACCGCTTCCATGTTCTTCCTCCTCCAGAGATTTTGAAACCTACAAGGAAAGCAAAGAACCAGAAATAGATTCCTTAGTGCGACCCAGTAGCAATGTCGCGCCATCAGCAGCAATGAGCAATCCTTCATTAGTTAGCCAAACCCACGTCGCGGTAGTGCACCATCTCCCCTTCGCGGTGTAGAAGCAGGAACAATTTTCCCCAATTTGCTGAAATCCAATTGGGGTGGATTTGATCAACAACCACTTCTCAGATCTACAACCACTTAATCTCCATCCCTTCGTCTGATCTACAACCACTTCTTAGATTTTTAATCCCATTCAATTTGATTGAACCTTAAATCCCATTTCAGAAATCCTAATATTATATTATTACATTTTACCAAAATTCCACGCAGGCTTAAACCATGCCACGTTTCAACTCTCACCATGCCACGTCTTAAAAATTTGACACATCAATTTTTCACCTCTGCAAAAACTTAACCCTGTTAACTAAATTTAACGGCAGGGTCTCAACTGATTCAAATTAGCACTTATAAGGAGTCAATTGGAAATTCTAATAAGAAGGGGATCAAAGTGGGAAAAACCCACATAAATAGGGACAATTAAAGGGTTTAAACCTATTAACTAAGTCATTCAAGTCTATTTTCCCTAGTAAAAGTTTAATATCTTTGCTTGACAGAAGCATGACTCATTTCAGTTTCCCTGTGTTACATTTCAGGAGCTTGAACATACTATTTGCCAAGACCGGTTACTAATGGAACCAGAATCTGAGCCATTAAAGGAAGCAACTGCTTCTACATTCTACAACCACCACCCTCTTGGTCATGATCTTCACTATTTTAATTTATATTGACGTAATGGTCCCTACCATCACTGCTTATGCTTTCACACTCAAAATTCAGATAATATCATATGTTGATTCATTTAGTTATTTTGGATAATTTTAATGCAATGTTACTTTGGTTTATATAATTTTTCCCTTTTACTCAAAAACTATAGGCTCTCATCCATGAGATTTTTCCTTGAGTTGTGATTTTTCATTCTTTTATTTATATTTTCTAGAGGCACTTCATTCACTTTAATTATGTGTGTAATGCCAGTACAAATTTGCTGTTTGCAAACCAGATGACAGTGCTAATTCCTTCTCTGTTATGAACACAGTAGTGATTATTAAGTTTGAAATCAATTAGAGTTAGCACATGATGTTCGGCAGATATCATTATGTTATAAAATTAGTAGTGCTCAATAATTGGAAATTAGACTGATCTGTGTTAACTTGATGCATCTCTGCAGCTACTAATACTACTACCAGTCTTCATTTTTTATTAGCAATGTGATAAAGAAAGTAAGGAGCTACAAAGAAGTATTATATGGTGCTAAACCTAATTTTGGAATGAGAAACAGTTCAAAATAGGTTTAGGTTATGTTTAAAGTTGAAAAAGTACCCTTGCCATACAACATGTATAATAGCAAATTTCAATGCACAAAATAAAAAACAAAAGTATTTATATCTTTTAATATTTAGATTATTTTTTATGATCATTTAGGATTTATTTTTCTTTTATATTTTATTTTTTTTTTCTTTATATGTTGGACCCTACGACATGTGGGTTCTGAACTACATATGAAAACTTATTTCATTATTGCGATTTTGTAATATATGTTGAAAGTGTATGTCTTGACAAGAGCCAAAAATATGCTTTCCTTTTACTGCATAATTGACCAACAACTGTACTTAACATCTATGGATCATGCAATGGTGACTCACTACTTAGGTATTGCTTGACATTTATTACCATTTGAACCATATCATTCCCAAGACATACATTATCATGTTTACACATTTGAAATGATACATATTCGTACAAAATACCAACTATATTATGTTTTAAAACATTTCCAAAACTCCAATTTACATCAATATAGTTGTCATAACTCATTGTCAACTAACTTGGAGTACGCTAATTCAACAATAACAAAATAAAGTTGTATATATATATACTACTATGCTATATCTCCAATTACTTTTGTTTTCATAAATCAAACCATGCATATCCGACATCTAATTCAATACAACACTAAATAAATGCAACTTAATTAACTCTTCTTATCTAAAGATAGTGTATATTAAGCAATTATAGAATATTCCAAAAGTTTAATTGAACTTATGACATTTTCAAAATATTAGCTTCGAATCCATATTATGATCGACCTATTTTGATATATCATCTATCGTCTCTATAATGTACACTTCATTAGCAAAATAGGTTACGTATTAGAGAAAGTTTGAATAATATATTTATAGAGAGATGATATTTCTAATTAATTAAATAATGAATGTTTATAACCATTTTATACTTAGTGGTTATTTATCTATTTTAACATTTTTGTTCTTAGGAAGAAACACATTCCCTTCAATTATAATAGAGAATTCATGGACAAACTCTAGAGACTTCAATCTTT